GGCGATCCAAAGTGTGGCTTCACTTTTCTAAAAATAACGAAATCTCGGCAAAATGCAAAATTTGTGACAAAAGGAGTATTTTTACAGAGGGAGGAGTATTTCCTTCAGAAAGGCCATTGGTTAGCAAGGTTAGCTAAACTTTTTTGACCCTGCCTCTTAAAAGAATCGGAATCGAGAATCGTTAGGAACCGGAATCGAAACAAGGAATCGGAATCAGAATCGTTCAAATTCAAATGATACCCAACCCTACTGATAAGTCAGAATTGGGGTGCTGCGCTACAAACACAGCCACAGTCGCACACGCCAATCCAAACGGCATCACCAATAACTCCCACACACCAATGACACGGCAAATGCCAAGTGTTAATTGAATTGCACAGCGTCTACATGTGCAGAGAGAGAAGAGCAGTGGGGTGTTCTGATTACACAATTTGACTGATTATTAGCATGCTGGTTCAGCTAACGGGTCACATATCGTTTATCCTGATGTGGCATGCGTTTTCAATTCTGTAAAATAATAGATGCTGGGAATGCTAGCTTTTTAAGTTTGTTTTTCTGTCTCTGTGGCTGAAGGCAGTTGTCCTTTTCTGAATCTGTTCTGTGTGGGAAAACCAATATTGAGATAACTTCCTGTATATATTCACTGTATATTTCTATCTATAAAACACTCATCTGCGAGTCATTTCCTCTTGTCCACCTGGTGAAGATAGAAACTTTATGAGCTGGTATTTTAACTGCTCACAGCGCCTCCATGTGGGGTTTGCTGGTACTGAACTAGTGATGGAAAAGACAAGAGTTTAGCTTAATTATGCAAATGGGTGCATATTTTATTTTGCTATGAACTATAGCACTGGTTTAAACATTCAACAAGTTAATCATTTGCAGGATGCATAAGATAAGAATTACCGTTAGTGGTCAGCAAACTTTAATAAAATACTGTAATGTGACGTTGATATCTGGTCACCCAATTTAATGAACAAAATCACATGAAATATCTGGTTTCTCTCCTCAAATTTACACTCTTGACTGTAATTGTGGCATTTTTTTTTAAACATTTATCCCTTTTTTCTTCTTTTTGAATCAAACACTTTTAACGGTTATTCTTCCATAGAACTTTTACCTGTAAATATTTTAGCAGCTTTTGACATTTTTCATAATATTCAGTATATATCTTGATATTTCTGTATTTGCTTTTAAAATAAAGGATGTTTTTTTTTTTTTTAGAGGAACCATCATATAACAAATGCAGGAAAATGTTGAAAACAAGGAAGGATTTATATGTGGCAATATAACAATAAACAACATTTAGATATGAAGTTTTTACTTAGATCACTAAGACATGCTAAGACAGATTTTTGATTGACTGAAGAATCCGTTAATTCAGTGATATTTTGAACTGATTCACTTTTTTTTAGTATTAAGAAGTTAACAAGACTCGTTGCTTAGTAAATTCATCTTGCCTTTAAGGATTTTTTCACATTTTACTGAGAAAAAAAAAAATCAAAAAGGTCAATTATGAATGAATTTGTTTTCATCACCACACCGAGTGTCACATACTATAGACATTTTGTCAGATTTATGTCTTTAATTGCGTATAAGATCTATGACTGTGTTATGAAATGAAACGCTCTTTTCTTTTGTGGATCAAAAAATAAAAAGCTAAAAATAGGGGCTTCGGTTTACAGTTACAAAGAGTATTGAGGCTCCAGGCCAGAATCAGCTTTATAGCTTCCGTGACCATCCGGGCAAAACCAGAATTGTTAGCGTTCACCTGACATTTCTATGTTGCTGCAGGGGCTGATGGGTAATTCACTGCAGGCCTGGTGTTTAATTCAGTACTTTCACAAAATACAAGCTGAATGCCGCAACTCAAGGTTACTGCCTTCTCTCTCTCTCTCTCTCTCTGCTGGGATTCAGCAATTACTAAAATCACAGCCCTGACGGAGCAAGACATTTCATTCGGACTGTTGTCATGGGAACAGGCCGCAGGCCGCCCCACCTCCTCGTGTTGGTTCGCTAGCGCACAATAGACAGAGATAAGTGACTGAGAGGGATTTTAAAGCAGTAGAGCTCAAACTCTTGTCTTGTATTCTTCTGGTTATATAACCCCCCCTGTGACAGCAGGACACAAAGTGTGGAATCTGTGCACACTGCGGCCTTGGAGCTACAGCAAAAAAGAAGGAACCAGCTTCTTGTATTTACGATACTATTATTCATTGCTGAGGGGTCAAGGGTGTTGAAAACGCCGCTAAACATTCACAGGATTCCTTAATTGAGGCTACAGCAGAGCTTCAATGTCTTACTGCTTTTAGAAAAAAAATATTATGTTAAACAAAACGCTTTTTTTTTTAAGTAGACCATTTTGGAATGTCTTACTTTCTCCGCTCAGGACAGTGTTTGGTTCTGGTTGACCGTTGACATTACAGAGCTCAAATGAGTCGTTATTCGTCTGTTTTCAGCTCTGCTGTTGCTGTTGAACTTGAAATGGAGTGTTTAGTGTAAATGTAAAAAAAAAAAAAATAATTATAAAAAAAATAATTTTTAAACAAAATTTTAATAATTAAAAAAATGTATTATACATTTGAGTGGATTACAAAATTATCGGAGCTTGTTTCCGCCGAAGAATATACAATAAAAGTGACTTTTTTCCTCACATTTGCAAGTGATGTTTAAATAAATGTGTGATATACAGTAAAGTTGCAATTGTGAGTTCTACAGTCAGAAATGTGAGATATAAACTGGCAATTCTGAGGAAAACGTCCATTGGGATTTCATATATGTAAAAAAAAAAAATGATATGAGAAAAAAAAGTCACCATTTTATACATTGAAATATATAATTTGTATACTTCTATAATGATTATAGTACACTGTAAAAAATTTGGAGTAGGATTTACTCTTGAAAAAAACCTTGCTAAACGATCTCACTCAGAAAATGCTAGTAAATTTACAAAGATTTGCCAAGTAAAAACCTAAACATATTTATCAGTAGCTTTAATTAGAAATCTTTAAGTTAAATTTACTTGGAATGTGGAATTAAGTAAACTTTACAAAAAATAAGTAATTTTATCTCGGCTTGTAAAAGGTTGATTAATACCGATTTCCTTTGCCTTTGTATTACACTTCACTAAAACAATTATCTTGAATTTTATTAGTCATTTATAGTCTGTTCTTTACTTAGATCATCTAAGTAATTTATATATACATCATGTCAGACTTTAAGCCTTATGTGAATGCAAACACCTCAATACTTGGTATACAATACACAATGGTGGTAACATTTGATGGATCGTTTTTGGGTTTGAATGTGTCGTTTTAAGCAAAAAATTTACTCGAAATGTCACAAAATGGCAATTTACTAATACTGAAAACAAAAATCAATGATAAAACAGTGTAAATACAGCTGGAAACCAGTGAAAAATTAGCCTCATTAATTATTCAAGGTCCAGTGCATGATGGGAACCCCAGTATCAGAAAAGTTGAGTAATTTTTACTTAATTTTATTGAGTTGATATTACACTTTCATTTATACTCGCTTGAAATAAGTACTGATATGGAATTTACTTAGTTTTTTTAAATTCTTGCCTGAACTAACTTTTTCAAGTAAATTACATTGGGTTTTTTCACTAGTATTTACTTAACCAAAAAATCATTTTTTACAGTATATCATCAATAATTGAGAGACCAGGTTCATTTAATTGAAATGCTTTCTGGGAGAGCCTATCTCGGCAATGTAAAACCAGTTTGCTCATCCAGCTTGTTATCTGAGGGGATGAAAATGAATATGAATACTTCCCTGATATATAGTAGATGAAAAAAGTAGTATGTCTGAATAAAGGCTACTGCAAAAAGTACCCGGATGATCAACTACTACCATTGTTTAAGCAGTTTTCTTTGTTGTTTAATTGCTGGGCCAAATTGGCCTTAAGCAAACATCTGTAGCCGTTTAAAGTTAGAGGCAACCACTTGCATTTTAATCACAATCCAAACTAAGATGCTACACATCTAGCAAGAGCAGTTGCTTTTGATTTAAATTAGATTGCATAATTGATTGTCTGACTTTACCCGTGTGAAATTGTTACATAAGAAACACCTGCACAAAACAAAAACAGGGCTGTATGAAAACGCAAATTCACTCTCTGACAGCAGATGGCGCTTATGGAAAAGAAGCGCTTACAAACACTACTTTAATATGGAGGCCATCAAAACTATTCTGACTGTCAGTTCCCTTAAGAGATACATTCATACAAACCCCACACCCAATTCAAAATTTATATTTTTATTCCCATATTTCAAGCATCGCGAACGAATCTTCCTCTCCTCTTTGCGTCTCGTGTCTGGCCTGTGTTTAACGGCTTGACTTTCTAGGCTAATATTTTCACACAAATGGCATTTCGGGATATAATTACAGTGCATTTTGTGTGCAAGTCCGGATTAGAGATAAGCCAAAACTGTCTGGTTGGTGAGAGACCGGTGCATCTCTTCAAAAAATGTCGGGATATCTAATAAATTCTTTATCTGAAACATTAAATTACTTTCTACTCAAATCTGACCACTGCTGTTGACACCCGTGTTGAGATCCAAACTATAAACCTTTATGGTTTAACTTTTGTGATGAGTTGAATGTTTGTAACGTAAAAAAAAAAAGAAAGAAATTGTACGATTGAATGTTAGTTTCATATGCAGATTTGAAGTTTCCAATGATTAGTCAGAAATAAGAGATTTGTTCTGACCAATAATTGAGTTAACAAACTACCTCACTAAACCGAAAGTCATCACCTGAATCACCACCTCATGACACGTCCTACCGAAGAGCATGAGCATGTTCCAGCTTTTGAGTTCATTTACTGAAAATGACAGGATGGAAGTGAATGTTTGGCCGCATGAGCAATAGATGATGTAACTACACAGTTCCAAATCTTTTTCTCATCATTCTGTCCCTCTAATGTCTGAGATGATTGCTTGGCCTGTCTCTTTACATGTTTCCTTTCTCTCTGCCAGATGTTGGGAGCTCTCACGGCGTTCCCGATAAAGGTGCCTCACATCAGCTCTCTGCAGCGACTGGCAGGACACTCACCCAGCATGCTACCTCAGGTACTGCACAACACGAAAGCAAACCTATTTACATGTACACACCACAAATTAATTATGAATCATTTTTCTATCGGACATGTTTAAAATATTCGAAAGAAATATAAGAATAAACCGCTTAGGGACTTCTAACAGGAGCAACTGAACGTGAGAGGTGGCCTATAATGGCTGACAGGACAGTTTGTTTTTCTGAGGTGAGAGACTTTTTATTTCGTAACAAGTTTGGAAAATAATATAACGTTGGAATAATGACACTGACAACATCTCATCTGACCGCAGATACTGAATCAGGACGACGCGTTTTTCTCAGGCAAGCTTTCACACGCGTCTTTCAAAATAAAAGTCTTCCATCAGAAAAACAGAATTATGTCTGTTGTTGTTGTTTGTTTGACTGCACACTCTAAGACCCACTTAAAAACGGTCTTACGAGGCACCAGTTGAGAAACTATTCATTCTTTGAAGGGATATGCATTGTTAGTAATTAATAAATTGAATTAAACTAAAAGTTAATGCACAAATCAATTAATACACAACTCATTGTTCTCTTTAAAAATTGCTGCGGCCTTCAGGGGGATTGTTTACTCAGTCCCGTCTTATCCTCTGCTAGTGACACCTACTAGAGGTCAAACTGATTATTCATCTGGTCGTTTAGATCTGCCGCTAGTCAATACTTTGTGTTGGAGTTGACTCGTGCATCACATGATTTCAGTTGCCCTTGCTCTACACATGACGATGGCAGCGGGGAAATTCCTCTGTCATCAGCTTTGTATAGAGATTGATTACTCACACATTGCAGAATTGGACATATATGTGTATCAATGTGTGCATGTCACATTCAAATGTATTTATTTGTGAAAATAAGATGCAACATATGAATGTATAAATGTAAATATGATGTAATGCATTTGGGTTGGATTGTGATTATTACAGTTTTGAGTGTAATAATCAGGGGCTGGAATGCAGTTGCTGGAAAGATTAGTTTTTTACTTAGAAATTCTCTCACTTCAACTTGTTCACATGGGCATACTAGGAGTGTATTTACTTGAAATATTTCCAGTGTAAAGTTATGAGTAATTGGGATATTCAATTTCAGTTGACCGTTTGTTTTTATTTTCATTTTAAGGTGTCCTTGATACATTTAAAGGGGTGTTGAACTGAGAAATCAAATTTTCCTTGAGCTTTTGACATCTAAGAGGTTATCATATTATAAAAATATCCTGTAAGTTTCAGAACTGAAAACGTCCTTATTAGTCCAATAAAAGCTTTTATTGACACCAGGCTCAACAAACGACTTGTTTTTCAAAGTGGGGAACTATGACGACAAAGAGGATAAAACACCACCCCCGCAAGATCAACGCCTACTTCAACTCAGCCGGTTTAGCCCCGCCCACCGATTTGCGCATTACACGCAATCACGCATAGCTAAATAACATAGATGCCTACAACAATAGGACTGCATGGATAAACTTTATTTTTAATGACGTTCCAGCTGATGAGGTAAAACATCGTCCGTCTGTTCGCTTCATTTCACTGAGGATTGTCCTGTAAACAAGACTGGATTTGCAGACCGATTAAGAGTAAAGAACGGTGCTGTGCCGTCTATATTGGATCTGACAGGAATTGTGCAACACACGGACTTTGGGTCGAATCATTCCGGTTGCCATTTTACAACATTGGACGTTTTCAAAACAATTTCCCCAAGTGCATCGACGGGACTCATAATATGCAAAACTGTTATCCACTCACAGCAGTGGGCGTTTACTTCCAAGTCTTCAGTGCGAGATGCCCATAAAACCCCAGCGTTTTTCAGGTAGGCTCAAAACTTGGATACAAAATAGCCTATTACTTATTCATTTTGATGTTTTTGAAAGCAAAAACCAAGTGAACGTCATAAGTTGACCTCAGACAACAATGTAATAAAATTTAAAAAGCCAGTTCATTCTTGTTCGAAATTTTCACACGGTACAAAATAAATACGGCCTCACGTTGTGTCAATCACGTTTACACACTGCCTCAGAATCTTTCATCCGTCATAAAAAAAATTAAATCGTGTTCAATTTTTTGAGTTTTTCGCATCCGTAGCAAGCATTTGGAGGGGTGTTTTGACAATTCAGAGCCACCGAATGATGAATACGAAAAAACGCATACAAAAATGTCGGACTCGGTGTGGAAGGAGCTTTATCCTAAACTCTGCAAGACTGTGGCCCCCCAGGAACTAAATTTGGCATCCCTGGTTTCATCTGAACCACCTTGAAACTATGCGAACATTACCCAAAACTAGAATTGAAAGATTGAACGATTTCATTTAAGAGATGAACATATATTTTAAGCCAAAGCCAAGAACCATCTGCTGCTGGTGTCCGCTCAGGGGACTAAGCTTTGTTCTCTGTGTTTCTTTAGGTTAGGCCAAAGACCCTCATTCCAGACAGCCTTCCCCACAGCCCATGCCGAGAGCAGCAGTCCAGTCAAATGCTGGTCGTGCCGCAGAGCATGTCTGTGGTCAGCCCAAAAAGCCAAGGCGCATCTTTGCCAACTGCCAACAGCACCTTCAGTCACGAGCGACTGTCCAGCGGGCAGGAACAGAGTTCCTCATCGCCCTCGTGTGTGCCGAGTGTGTCCACGGCGTCCGCCAGCCCAGGGGTGGCGTATGCCATCATCTCTGCAGCCTCGCCGGCCGCCCATGGGGTGTCAGGAATGACTGAGGCCATCAAAGTGCAACCGTTGATTTTCAGCCCAGACAGCAAGGTCTGAAGATCCCTAATAATGCTCAGCTTTGAACTTCCATAATTCCACAAATTATAAATGTAGATGCCCAGAATACTGTTTAGTTGATTTGTCTAAGAGGTTTAATGTGTGTCTGCAGGTTATTATTATTCAGCCACAGATTCCCAGCTACTGCAAGAGTTCTCCAGATTCACAAAATGACAGTCCTGTGAAGGAGCCAAGCCCAGACCCCTCGACCCCAGCCAAAAAGCTGGAGGATCCAGAGGTACACACACAACTTGTCTCGACTGTTATCACAAAGTCTGGTCCACATTACAGGTAATTCTTGAGAAGAGATTGACCTGATCGGCATGGGAAATAACCAGTTACATCAAAATTGTAGTATTCCAGACCAAATTGTTGGAGTCCAAAACCATATTTTCTATGACTAGTTGAGATCTGGTTGTTTGAGTCAGTGTCCAGGCTGTCCAAATTCTCCTGAAAGTGGGGTGTTGGTCTCGATCTTGAGTCAGAGTTTGGTTTTGTCTGAACTTGAGTGCAACAACACTGAAATAGATGCCATTCATTTACAAAACTGCTAATCCTATGAGTACATTTGAGTATATTTTGTTACTAATGCCTCAAGCAAATCTCTCCCTTGAATTCAAGATATGCTATTATCCCCAAAAACTTTTGTACAATTGACTGGTTCTCAAAAAACGGTCATTGTAGAATTTTGATACATTGTAAAGTTGCAGGTGGCCAATCAGATTAGATTTTGCCCCTGACTCAACTTTAAAAAGCTAATAATTAATATGTATAGCAGCAATCTGAAGCACTACGACAATATGGACAATTAGGCTAAACCTGACCCTCCATCGCTATTTTTGTCCTCCAGTCTCAGTCTTCTCATATTATGATAAAGGAAGACTAGATTGTCCACATTGTCAGGTTATTTTTTTGGGAACCAAACAAGAATGTTCTAGGAAAGATCTCTGTAGGTTACTTTTAGGTTTAATTTTATAAGCTAAAGAGAAAGTTCTGGGAATGTTCCCTGTAGGTATAACCTAAAGGGAACGTTCCCATTAAGTTTCCAGAACGTTCCCCTAACCTTAAGGGAACGTTCTAGTTACGTTAGGAAAACTTTCCTGGATCACCAATAGGGAACGTTCTTGGGAACCAAAAACTAACATTCCCAGAACGTAAAATTGTTAGCTGGGATGATGGCATAGACGTGGAAGTTAAAGTTTTTAATGTTGTTTCCATATTTATGTGGTGTTTTTTAATGCTTTTAAGACAAATTATGTGTAAATTCATGTCAACAACATTGCTGAGCATTTTCTCTCTAAAACTGCAGTGAAAAAAAGTCTCAAAAACACGACGATGTTTCTTGCATCGCAAACTACCTTGTAAACAATCCCGCCACACGGGGGCTTTTACCATATCGAAGCAGGGGAATCTCAAGAGTATATATATTTTTTTTTTGACTAATCAACTAATTAAAATGTAGTCTCTTCTCGTTGATTAACGTTTAGCCGACTATTGGGGGGCAGCCTTAGTTCCCTTTCGAAGGGAACTCAACAATACGTCGAATGACGCTATGGGGAGACGTATTGTCTCATTCCATGTTCTCAGGGAACATAGGTTACAGTCGTAACCTGAGACATTTTGGGTGCAGAATGAATCAGACAGTCAGTGAAAGAACTGTTGCCAGTGTTCGCCCATGTTGTCAAGTGAAACTAGTCCAGAAGGGAAAGAATAAAGTTAACATAGAACATTGAATCCTGTTTATTGTATTAACTTAATTAACCTTTCTGTCCTACAGAAAATTGCCTTCATGGTCGGGCTAGGCCTGGTCACTACAGAACACTTGGAGGGTGAGTAATGTGTAAAATCTGTAAAATGGAGGTAAATATCAATAAAATCATCAATAGACTGACATTTTGATGTTAAAATGTATTTTATTGTTAAGAACATTTTGTGGTGCTGTCTGATTAAGTAAAAATATTTTTATTGATGGGTAATTGTTTTGATATGAGTTATCTTGGAGAGTTAATTGGAAAAAAAATCATGTCGGGGAAATTCATATTGGGGACAAAAAAAACCACCATCAGTCAATATTAGTGGTGTGTGTTCATCTGCTGCATGACTGTGTTTGAATTGGTTTGAAATACATTCCAGTTCAATTTCCTCCAAATAACCTCCCAGATAGCAAACTGACATTGAATCAACGTGGAAATATGACATCGAAACAACGTTGATCTGACATTGTTTTGCTCATCGAATTAACGTTGAACCAACGTCAGACGCGTCATTCTTTCAAAACTAACGGAAAATCAACTTGAAATCAACGCGTTGTTTCAACGTTATGAAAGCAAACCAATTTTCGATTTTCATTTAGCTTTGAAGAATGCCGCGTCTGACGTTGGTTCAACGTTAATTCGATGAGCAAAATCAACGTTGTTTCAATGTCATGAGAGACGTCGTTTCCACGTTGATTCAATGTCAGTTTGCTGTCTGGGCTTCATATTCATATTTGAAACAAGCCAATTATTCTTAATTCTGCTCAACTCTGAATGAAACAGTGAAACACAAAAGCAAACGGAATCTGAGATGTTGGGGTGTAAAGATTCATCATAGACGTGTTTTAATTTCCAGAGATCCAGAGTAAACGGCAGGAAAGGAAAAGGAGAAGCACAGCTAACCCTGCATACAGCGGACTGTTTGAACCAGAGGTCAGTCTGCCAGTCCAAACTCCTTTAAACAATCACTTCATTTCAGGACTATTCGTTTGTAAAACATCTTGTGTCTTGCTTTTCAGCGCAAACGACTCGCTTCGAATTACCTGAACAGTGGCATGTTTCTGTCGGCAAGAGGTAAAATAGATTTCTGCTTCTGTCAAAAATTATCTGAAAAAATTACGCATGGGAAACAGAAACATGTTTGAACAGATTCACCAAGTGCTCACGTTTTAATTCGTTGTTTAACCAGTTGTTAAACCAAACACTCACTGCTTTAACTTGCTAAGCACGTGTCAGCACCGCTGTTAAACTGGAGTAACCCTAATAACACAGTCTTGTCAGTGTGACGCTACTAACCTGCTGTTTGCTTTCACATGCTAGACTCTGAGGAGCTTTGCTGGAAGGTACGTCTATACTCTAACATCACTTTGTGTGTGTGAATCTCATGCGGCAAGAAAAGATATAGTTTTTGATGATTTTGACATGGTTTATATACACTCACCTAAAGGATTATTAGGAACACCTGTTCACTTTCTCGTTAATGCAATTATCTAATCAACCAATCACATGGCAGTTGCTTCTATGCATTTAGGGGTGTGGTCCTGGTCAAGACAATCTCCTGAACTCCAAACTGAATGTCAGAATGGGAAAGAAAGGTGATTTAAGCAATTTTGAGCGTGGCATGGTTGTTGGTGCCAGAGTATTTCACAATCTGCTCAGTTACTGGGATTTTCACGCACAACCATTTCTAGGGTTTACAAAGAATGCTGTGAAAAGGGAAAAACATCCAGTATGTGAAAGTTCTGAGGGCGAAAATGCCTTGTTGATGCTAGAGGTCAGAGGAGAATGGGCCGACTGATTCAAGCTGATAGAAGAGCAACTTTGACTGAAATAACCACTCGTTACAACCGAGGTATGCAGCAAAGCATTTGTGAAGTCACAACACGCACAACCTTGAGGCGGATGGGCTACAACAGCAGAAGACCCCATCGGGTACCACACATCTCCACTACAAATAAGAAAAAGAGGCCACAATTTGCAAGAGATCACCAAAATTGGACAGTTGAAGACTGGAAAAATGTTGCCTGGTCTGATGAGTCTTGATTTTTGTTGAGACATTCAGATGGTAGAGTCAGATTTTGGTGTAAACAGAATGGGAACATGGATCCATCATGCCTTGTTCCCACTGTGCAGGCTGGTGATGGTGGTGTAATGGTGTGGGGGATGTTTTCTTGGCACACTTTAGACCCCTTAGTGCCAATTAGGCATCGTTTAAATGCCACGGCCTACCTGAGCATTGCTTCTGACCATGTCCATCCCTTTATGGATACCATGTGTCCATCCTCTGATGTCTACTTCCAGTGAGATAATGCACCATGTCACAAAGCTCGAATCATTTCAAATTGGTTTCTTGAACATGACAATGAGTTGACTGTACTAAAATGGCCCCCACAGTCACCAGATCTCAACCCAATAGAGCATCTTTGGGATGTGGTGGAACGGGAGCTTTGTGCCCTGGATAGCCAACATTTCTAAAGAATGCTTCCAGCACCTTGTTGAATCAATAGCACGTAGAATTAAGGCAGTTCTGAAGGAACACAGTATTAGTATGGTGTTCCTAATAATCCTTTAGGTGAGTGTATACAAAAATGACCAAAATATATTAGGAGAACTTTCATCATTTGGGTTGTGTTTACACTGCAAGTCTAAATGTACAGATCTGAGGTTTTTATTTTTGACCATTCACATTCACTTTAGACACGACTGGTTTCCGATATCTGTGTTTACATTAATCCCTGCCCAAAATGATTCTGTTGGTGATCACTTTAAGATGGTTGACCTTCAGGTTTTTGAATCGGATAGTTTGCTGGTTTTGTGTGCAACATCTGTGTCAGATCAGATGTGTGTAAAAAATCGCAGTGTAAACGCAGCCTTTCTGTCCATACAACACCTGTATGAATTTTTACTTTTTTTTTTTTTTTGTGGAAAACACACAAACGGGTTCTTTATGCTTTAAATACAATTGAGGAAAATTGCAATATTCAGTTCCCGGGATGAAGTGCAAATCTCCCCCCAAAACAATACAAGTAATTAAGTAAAATGACCATTACATTCCATTTAATACTATAAAGACAATCCAATAAAGTCTTTGCTTACGTACTTTATTACGTTTCTATTTAAGTACTTTACTTTGATTTTGTTTCAGACATTTTTTGGTTTTTTTGTTTTTTTAACATAATTTGCTTTTTATTCACGTCAGGCATATTGTGTTAATAACTTTCATTTGACACGTTAATGCATTGCCATGGAAAAGGTAACATGATAATAATGGACTCATGCAGAGGGCTTAGTTTGAATATTTTCAACTTTCCTTTTTTAAAGTTGAACATGTTTCGCTTGTGAAAGGGTTAATAGTTACTTGTTGAAATAAAATGGACATCTTAAAAATTCCTGACAACTTGTTGTGTGGTGTGTTTCTGTAAATGTGTGTGTCGCAGGAGGAGCTGCAGCATGATGATCACTGTGCAGTGTGTAAACAGGAAGGAGATCTTCAGCCGTGCCACACCTGTACCCGCGCCTACCACCCCGACTGCCTCAACCCACCTCTCAAAACTGCCACCCGGGGCATCTGGATGTGCCCTAAGTGCCAGAAGAAAGTAATTATTTACTTTCTACAATAGAAATTGTATCAAAGCAGATTTAGAGTAATAACAGGAAAATAATGCATTTCGGGTGTTGTTCAGTTCGGTGGTGTGTTCGTATTGTAGTCTTGTGTGGTTATCAAAGTAAATAGATTTCTGTTTTAAGGACATTTAGATATTTTTACTAGAAGGTTGTTTGACCTAATAAGACACTAGCCATGTTTCCATCCACTTGTCAATCGAATTATCTGAAATTCGGTTAAAAAACTCATGCGGATAAAGCTGGTGAAAGTGTGTTTCCATCCAACGGCTTTAAAGCGAATAAAAACGTACGTAAAAATTACGTACGTAATGACGTCACATGCTGTTTTGCGATCAAATTGGTATATCGAATTGATTTGAGACATTTTAAGGTGTTTCCATTTATTTTCGCACTGAATCGAACAACATTCAAGCAAACTTTTGCGAACAAAGTTTTGTTAGACAAAACGGATCGCGCCATCTACCAAAAAATGATCAATATTTCACAAGTTGAAGGCCAATAATGCTTATGTGGCAGCTGATTGCGACATATGAATGGGATAACGTATGCGAGGCGGTTGTTGGTTGTATTCGCTATAACAACCGCCTCGCTATATATTATCCTGCCTATTACATATAAATCAACCAAATAAATCAATAATTTGACACAAAATATTGACTTAAAAACGAGTTTATTGATTCAAAAACGAGTATTCCCAGACAGCAAACTGACATTGAATCAACGTGGAAACGACGTCTCTCATGACATTGAAACAACGTTGATTTTGCTCATCGAATTAACGTTGAACCAACGTCAGACGCGGCATTCTTCAAAGCTAAATGAAATCGAAAATTGGTTTGCTTTCATAACGCTGAAACAACGCGTTGATTTCAAGTTGATTTTCCGTTTTGATTTTCCGTTTTTTTTCCAGTTTTGAAAGAATGACGCGTCTGACGTCGGTTCAACGTTAATTCGATGAGCAAAACAATGTCAGATTAACGTTGTTTCGATGTCATATTTCCACGTTGATTCAATGTCAGTTTGCTATCTGGGTTGCTTCTGCTAAAAAAAATAGTCTGTTCCGTCTCTGAACTGCGTCCATGGCAACGGTGTGTTATACTAGCAGCGCCGCAGTCTGTTAACCAGAAAGAACAGACCACATTCTACAGTACAATTCAACCAAGCCACGTAAAAACAAGCAAAACTAACCTAAGAAAACAGCGACGCTGTAAACATTGCTATGATGATGACGATGCACGTATGCCCGACGACAGCGGAGGTGACTGTGGTGTGGGAACGAGCGCTCCATCAGTTCTGGGAGATCGTGGTTCACGGAAACCCTTTGGTTGAAGCATCTTTTGTCCACTTACATCTGTCTTTGTTGACATCCGCCATGTGTGCGCAAACAGACTGGCCGGAAATGAACTCGTCTTCTGGCGTGTTGCCACCATAAAAGGGCATAAAACTTAATCGCAACTCATTATTTATTCGGCAAATAACGTTTCCATCAGCTTTTATCGCATTAGCCGTATATCGATCAAGAGAAAATCCGATGAGACCGAACGTATTTCATTTGAGTCGATTTTCATGAAATTTCATCGTTTTCATAAGGCATTTTTCATTCGATATCACTTAATTCGGATAAAAACGTGTCAATGGAAACATGGCTACAGACAATCCGCTCATATTCTCTGTTCTGTTTTCATTTGAAGGTTTTGAACAAAGAGAACTTGTCTTGGCCACAGAACTTCATCCAGTCGTATGTTACACATAAAACAGGTGAGCTGTCCAACACATTTAAATCACTTTCTGTTCTCAGTGATGATGATGATGGTGATGATGATGTGTGTGTTTGTGCAGTGAGAGAGGAGGAACGCAGGAAGCTAATGAGGAGAAACACTGAGCTGAAACTTGAGTGTGAACATCTGAGCGAAGAGGACCAGAGACTCTGCAGTTCTTTGTCTGTAAGTAACTGAGCTAAATGGGGCTGGGTTGCCATGTAGAGAACACAGTTTTAATCGATCTTCACTTTAACGATCCCAATTGTGTTTCAACTGCAAAACACGTCTGGTCAATAAAATAACAATCGATATCGCTGCTAAATGAGTGCTTTTGTGAATCAAAATCGATTCAAATCATGAAATCTGTATCAATACCCAGCCCTGGTGCTAAACGTAACATGAGTATGTGACGTTGTACTTGGCATGCTCTACTAGTTTTGTTTAGCGTAAATGTGTGTATTTAATGTTGATGTCACCCTAAATGTGCTAAGTATCTTGGTCTTTTTCAAAACAACGTTTCTTTTTGTAAAAAAGTACAAGATTTGCAAGATAATAAACATTCTATCAGGTAAGAAATAATACATTTACAATACCTGTGTTTATGTGATTTAAATATGATATACGTTTAGAAATGTAACGGGGTTGAAATGAACAGTCTTGACAACTACAGTGTGCTTCTTAGGAAAATAAATTGATCAAGAATCAGTTGCATCGTTATGGTAACAGGGTTGAATTTTTTTAAGAGAAGAGACGAAGACTGCGTCTGAAGTCTATGATAGGTACTACAGTACATTTGATTCGAAACTTACTTTAAATTAAAATTCGGACGTACTACATCCACCATGTTGTCATTATCATGTGACCTACGGCGTCAGTTACGTTGCTTCAGACGTACACTTCAGAATATCGCCGGAAGTAGTAGTATGTCAGCCAGGTACTTTTCGCATACTGTTTATGAATACTATGAATTCCCAAATTGCAAATGCCGTCTGGCCCAGTTGTGGCCATAGACTGTAAAAAAAAGATGGACGACGCCCCTTCGCTCTTTTCCCATCAGAGAGAACTGAAGCCGCCAAATGTCCCGATATGGCGCTGACATCTTGAAACTTTCGGGACCAGACATGCGCAGTCGTGAGCAGGAAGTAAAGCAGCGAAATCAAGGCCGCGCCCTCATTCTCGCTGAATCAAACGCAAAATGACAGAAACCATCTTTGGATAAAGGATATGTGAAGTGTAATTTAATTGTTTAGTTGGTCTCACGTCCCGTTGAATAACATGGGGAGGCGGGGTTTATGACCTATACTAGGACCGGCCACCGGGGGGCGATCGAGACGTTTTGGCTTCACTTTTGAGGGCTGGTTGTGGCCCACATCTCCCACATTCTTCTGGCACACATACTACATGGAATGACGGCGATGACTCAACCGGGCTGGCGATAGCATACATATCCGGGCCAACTATGGCACATATGGCTCAGTTCTGGCAGTGGAAAAGGTCCCATGGGCCACACACAGCAAGCCACAACTCACACTAAAACCTACTTGTGTGTGTGGGCCAGATACGGCCCATATGGCCACTGCCAAAACTGAGCCATATACGCCATAGTTGGCCCAGATGAGGCCCGGATGGGTATAGTAGGCTTATGGAAGTAGGCGAATTTGAGTAGTTTTTTTCCCAAAAGGACGATGTCATCATTTTGACAGTTTTACTTATTTTCGGAATATATTTTTGACTTTTATTAGGGCAAAATTTGGTAACAGGGTTGATGCATACCTGAAGCAACTCAAAAAAGATGAACATAGAATAACATCAAATTATCAGATTAAAAGTTAGCCATTTCTGTATGACTAGCATCACCAAAGAGAATGACGGAAAAAAAAATAGTCCTGCCCCCAAAACACACGCCATTGGTTGAAGCGGTGTTGCTGTGTCAGCTAAGTGAATGATTTGAATGTTGTGCTCAACAGAAATGCATTGAGCAGAAGGAGCGTCTCCTGGGTCAGCAGCAGGAGACTCAGGCATCCCTGGAGCGTCTCAAGACTCTGATTCGACTCATTCAGCGCGACCAGATGATTCAAGTGACTATGACGGCCACCACCACCACCGGAGCATCGCTGCTCTCGCTGCCGTGGATCAAAGCCGCGGACAGCAGCACCAGCACCACAGCGCCCACTACTGGCCCCTCCGCAGGACTGCACAAAAGCGTGCTTCAGCCGCAAGGAAACAACTGACCACACAAACACAAGATCTACGACCGATGTGCATTTTTCTTCTGGTAATGTCTTACCAAAAAAATAATGGGAAAATTTAAAAAAAAAAAAGAAATAAGCGTCACTCGATTCATAAGTATTTTTTAAAGCCAACCACACACAGTGCTCACAAGATTTTTTTTTTTTTTTACCCACTGTTTTTTAATGTATAATTTTTCTTGGCCTTAATGTATTTATGACTAGATTACAATGCTGTTGCAAATATATGAAAATAAGTATTCTACATAGAAACATTTCTTATGATGCTTTGCGTTTCTTTTTTACTGGGGTTTGGTGTGTGCGTTTCGGGGGTGGGGGGGTAATCGTTCACATTTGGTTACTGAGATGGTTAGCATAGTTATAGTTGAAGACAAGCGACAAATGAAACGGAGAGTTCGTTGATATATCCGAATAGATGCTCGTTTGCATTTTCCGAAAGAACAAAGTTTGCCATAATAATTCAGGTTAAAGCGAGACAGGGAAATGTTTTCATTTTGTTCATTTTGTGTGTATTCGCGAACGTACAAACGTAAAAAAAAACCAACGACGACAACAAAAAATAATTTTTCAGTATTAATAGAGATAAAAGAACAAAGTATTTAAGATAACAACAGAATTTAGCCTTTTTAGTGATGAATTTAGTATTTTCATGCTGATGCCTGTTAATGATTTCAAACTAGTATTGGAGAGAGGGATCGTTGTACATATATGATTTTTTTTATTTTATTTCGGCTGTCCCGACAACAGAAACGAAAAAGGCCATTTGAGTTCTTTGAGTGCCTGATCCCGGAATCCAAAAACGTTTATTTTGTCTCCCCGCCGTATAAAATATGCCAAAAACCCTGAGTGTTTTTGTACCGTTAACTGTATAACGTTTCCATCTCATCTTGCTCTCGTCCGTTTTTATTTTTAAGTGTTGAATCACGTTTTTATTTACTTATCTCACGTCACTCCAAGGATACCACCAAGTTGCATTATTAATATTATTTTAAACTGTTAGTGAACACTGCCTGATGAATAAAAATAAAGAATTCATATCTAAAACACTCAATGGGGGGAAATCGTTTAAATGATACTTTTTTTTTTTTCGGAGGGAAAGTTTAGCATGTTCGTCTGAATGGTTTGTCTTCCTGCGTGGGTCGAAAACGGACGCCACATCTTTTAATGAAGTTACATTAACGCAACGCAAAAGAGCGCAAATAAACATTTGCACACATTTAACGATCATTCTCAACAAAGGAGATCGCAGTGGTGGATTTATTTAGTGTTAAATAATGGATAACACCATCTGTGTGTACATTTAAGGGCTATTTAACCACAGTCAGAATCATTTCCCCCCTTCAGTTTGAAAGGAATATGCAGCTGAATTATTGTTCCACTTGGTAGTGCGTGTCTTTTGTGTAGCATTTCTATGAAGTCTGGATATGTATCGCAATATTGTGTTGCAACACTACAGTTCAGTTTTTTATATGTTAACATATGCTTTTGCATAAACGTTTATGATCTTAGAACTCACAGCATTTATTAATCTTTGTTATTTATGTAATTTATAAATGTATATGATTGTTCTTTGTTAGTTCCTACAATCTGGAATAAAACAAATTAGTTAACTTAACTATAGTTTTTATATTTTTTTGCTGCAATTATAGGTTAAAGAAAAAACTTTTGCTGATAATTTACTCACGCCCATGTCATCCAAGATGTCCATGTCTTTCTTTCCTCAGTCGAAAAGAAATTAAGGTTTTTGATGAAAACATTCCAGGATTTTTCTCCATATAATGGACTTCAATGGGAACCAAACGGTTGAAGGTCCAAAAGACACTTTCAGTGCAAACTGCAAACTGTCCAAAGGGCTTTAAACGATTCCAGACGATGAATAAGGTGAAACGATCGCTCATTAAAAAATAAATAACAAAGATTACGTTTTATAAGCTCAAACGCTCGCCTTGCTCTGTTCTGTGACGCACTCTCCTATTCGAACTCATTCATCAAAATGAACGAATCTTTTTCCGAGTCATTCGGTTCATTCAACGAACAAAACGGACGAATTGACTTCGGAAAAAGATTTGTTCATTTTGATGAACGAGTTCGAATGGGAGAGTCACGAACCATTTAAGCTTATAAAACTTAAACTTTGTTTTGTTTTTTTAAATGAGCGATCGTTTTGGACCTTGAACCGTTTGGTTGCATCAAAATGTTTTCATCAAAAACCTTAATTTCTTTTCGACTGAAGAAAGAATGACGTGGACATCTTGGATGACATGGGGGTGAGGAAATTATCAGCAAACGTTTTTTTCAAAAGTGAACTACTCCTTTAAATCAAGTAGAGATTAAATTCAACCTAATGTTGTACAAATTTTCATTGTTAATTCGTGCTACCTAATGTTAAAATGTACAGCTTTACTGTAAAGCGTTACTTATACATTATAAAAGCTTTTTTTTCCAAATTATTTTCCAATACTTATAAATGGTCACACGTACAAGGCATTAAAACAAGATCAACACGTTAAAGTATAACCATAAATGGATATGTATTGTACATATGTATACAGACATCATAAAAAGTGCTGTTTGTTTTTGTTTTCTTGGCGAACTTTAAATCTCATCCCACAGAGTGTCTCATTCAGGTCCTGTATTGTCATATTCAGAATGTAATGGAATGCATATCATCTGTTGGATTGTTTCGCAGCAGAGTACAGACTGCAGACCTAATTATTTTCTTAACAAGCTTCTTTCTTGTTTTCCAGTAAAATAGGTACATTTACTTGTTTTCAGAGAATTTTTTTTGGTCTTGCTCTACAGCTGTTTATAAGTTTTTTTATTTATTGGAAAACAAGACAACGCTGATTGAGAAAATGAGTGGGATTTGATGTTATCAGCCCTTTTCCAGGAATACATGAATTGTTTAAATGAAACTATATCAGTGCTCTGTTCTTCATATCACTTCCATCTACATTGCGACACGTCCCTGATTTCTGTTGACCCGTTGTGGCCCGTGTTCCTCAGATATCTTCAGATATCCTCTCCGGGAGAAACTGTGCAGTGCTTATACAGATCTATTTTACTACACTCAACACTGCGTTGAACAAAAAACAAATTATATTCTTTTATCAAGGAACAAATGAGGGAAGACAAAAAAAAATGACAATTTTTTTTTTTAATTGTTTGCTAATTATGCATTTTGACTTGGCTTGCAAAATGTGACGCGTCCTTTTGCGATGGAGAAGGAAGCAAAGCGAAGGAGATAAGACAACACAGAGGTGTTTAGCTAGATGTCTTTGGACTGTGTTTTTCTTTGTCATTTTGAAGGGGACTGTCCAGTGGATAGTACAAATAGAAGAGTGTTTGTCTTACATATGCCAATGTAGTTTTTACATCATCTAATGATCTATTAAAGTTGATTGATGGAAGTTCATCATTTGTAAGAGTTGTCTTGCTTTTTTGTGCTTTGGAGAATGTGTGTTAAGGATTATTACAGAGGTTAAAGGAGTTCACTTTTAAAAAAAACACCACTTTTGCTGAGAATTTTCTCACCCCCATGTCATCCAAGATATCCATGTCATTCTTTCTTCAGTCAAAAAGAAATGAATTGACTTCAATGGGAACCAAACGGTTCAAGGGCGATCACTCATTTAAAAAAACAAAAAAACATTTTATAAGCTCAAATGGTCGCTCTGTTCCGTGACTCTCCTGTTCGAACTCGTTCATCAAAATGAACGAATCTTTTCCCGAGTCAACTCATTCATTTCGTTTGTTGAATGAACCAAATGACACGAAAAAAGATTCGTTCATTTTGATGAACGAGTTCGAACAGGAGAGTCACGAACACGCATCACAGAACAGAGCAAGGCGACCATTTGAGCTTATAAAACTTAAACTTTGTTATTTTTTTTTTTAAATGAGCGATTGTTTCGCTTGATAAGACCCTTATTCATCGTCTGGAATCGTTTAAAGCCCTTTGAACAGTTTGCACTGAAAGTATCTTTTGGACCTTGAAACGTTGATATGGAGAAAAATCCTGGAATGTTTTCATCAAAAACCTTAATTTCTTTTCGACTGAAGAAAGAAAACATGGACATCTTGGATGACATGGGGGTGAGTAAATTATAAGCAAAAGTAAAAAAAAAAAATTTGAACTACTCCTTTAAGATGGTAACACTTTATTTCGATGGTCACCCAGATAGCAGACTGACATTGAATCAACGTGGAAATATGACATCGAAACAACGTTGATCTGACATTGTTTTGCTCATCGAATTAACGTTGAACCAACGTCAGATGCGTCATTCTTTCAAAACTAACGGAAAATCAACTTGAAATCAACGCGTTGTTTCAACGTTATGAAGGCAAACCAATTTTCGATTTCATTTAGCTTTGAAGAATGCCGCGTCTGACGTTGGTTCAACGTTAATTCGATGAGCAAATCAACGTTGTTTCAATGTCATGAGAGACGTCGTTTCCACGTTGATTCAATGTCAGTTTGCTATCTGGGCAGCTTTACACATTACTCACTATAAGAAGGCCTAACTTTGCAACAACATAAGCTATCGGTCATGAGAGTATTAGTAGACTGTTTGCTTAACATCTGCTAACACTTTATTTTGATGCTCCTCCAACAGACAATCTATAGCCTGGTTAAAACCATGGAGATATGGTCTGGCAAAGCGTCATAGACAAATCATTTCCAGAGGGGGCGTAACCAGCGGACGTCGCAGATAGACCTAAAACCAATCAGAGCGATGGAGATGACGTATGCAGAGCGGCGGCCGGCAGAGAATGTTGTTCTTTGCTCGGTTTTTAACAAAAAGGAAACGTTCAAATCGCTTAAAAACAGACACGATAGCTGATTCGAGCGAGTGATGTTCGACGGCGGCGTCCATCTTTGTAATGTAGGCTACACAATCTGCTTAAAAAACCCAGCGCTGTCGTCATCGTGTAAAGTCCGCCCCAACGTTTCTGATTGGTGCCGCGATTTCTGAATGAGCTATTTCAGAGCAAATCTAAATTTACCGGAAGGTGTCTGGGTTTTCCCAGGCTAGACAATCTACTTACTAAAAGTTACTTTACAATTATGAACTTATTCTAGTCGTTACCTTCATTTATATAACGCTTTTTTACAACACAAGTTGTTTCAAAGCAGCTGTGCTGTGGTAATAGGAAATGAATGCAACAGATAGTTTTGGTTTTGGTAATCTCTTTTGTCGTGAAAAAAAAAGATGAGGCTTTCGCAGGGGTTAGTCTAGTTGACACGCTCTCTCCTGACACTTCAGGGCTGCGTTGTGGTTGAGTCTCCGCAGGTTTTTCATCTGATCTGGATACGGCCCGGATCCGGCTGACTACATTAAACCTCGGGATAAGCAGATAGACCAATATTAGTGAAGATGAGATTATGATGTAACGAGTACATCAGGTGTTATTAGAAGTGTTCTTGGTTCGGTCTGACCTAAATTATTCAGCCTTACATGATTTGATTTAGAAAACCTGATAATGTGTATGCCAGGTTAAAGAGATGTGTTTTTAGTCTAGATTTAAACCGAAAAGAATGTGTCTGCTTCTGGAACAATGTTAGGAAGACTGGTCCAGAGTTTATAGGAAAAGGATCTACTGCCAGTAGTCAATTTTGATATTCTAGGTATTATCAATGGGCCAGAATTTTGATTTCGCAATAGACGTGAAGGACTATAATGCAAGTACTGGGAGCTAAACCATTTAATTTGTAAGTAATTATCAAGATTTTAAATTGTATACAATGTTTAATATGGTGCCAATGTCTTCCTGGTTCTGGTAAGAACTCTAGCTGCTGTGTTTTGGATTTGGATTTTGCGTTTTATATATTTTTAAGATTGAAGAATGTGGTTTTACAGATGCTAGAAACGTGGATTTCAAATGAAAGATTGGTATCAAAGAGCACACCCAGGTTCCTAACTGATTATGAAGACTTGACAGAACATCCATCATAACTAGAATGGTTTTTTTTCCTGAATTTAGGAGTAGGAAATTACTAGTCACCTCATTTGTTTATATATCA